TGTTTGTTCCTGATTTAACTTTTACAACTTTTTTTTAACTACTTACACGCATTAAGAGAATTTTTTGTCACTAACTACCTAATAAAATAATTTGTAACACACTACATTTCACAAGTTTTGTGCAAATATGGATTTCATGAATGAAAAGAGACATGAAAAATCTGCTAACAGGCTAATAGCTAACAGGAAATTATTATTTTTATCCTGCAACAAGCAAATAACTTAACTCAATCTCTATTCAGACATCAAATGACAATTAACTACAGCTTCCATTGATTACTTAAGTAGTCCACAATTAGCTTGGTGGTAACATAACACTGAACAATACTACAACAATGCTAGCAGACATTAGCATTATGCTAGTGGTGTTAATTAAGCACAGAAAGGCTTCATTGCATTAATCATTGCTATATGTGATTGACACATGGCTGTTTCTGGGTCTTAAGGTGTAAACAATGAATATCCCAACCTGTAGATCAATATAGTCAATATAGATTGTTAAGCGCAACACAAAGTGTGAGCTTCCTACTTAGTGTTATTGGTACTATGTTGTTGCATACCAGGGCTGCTGGAACAGCGGGGGCAAGCAGGCATTTGACTCACCACTTTTCAAAGTACTGGGGTGATGACCCACCACTTTCTGACTTCACTTTCTAGTTCGGGATGCAGACATCAAAAAGAAAATCTCCGCTCTCACCAAACTGAACAGAGCACCGACATATAAACATAAAAAAGAAACTATAGTTTGGTCTGTTTTGATGTGACACTACACCAGTGTACAGGTCTACAATAAACAACTAAACGGTGGTCCGGCAAAAATCACAGGTGACCCCTGCTGCAGTTTGCTGCTTGGGGAAATGTGTTTTAATAAAGGTCCACACCAAACAAGGACATTCAACACCAGAGCACGCACTCCTCAGTGCACATCAGCGCTGCACTGCCTGTTTTAACATTTTACTCTTTAAAAACCCTCATCATTCCTGCAACACAAGCTGCTGCTAATAACAGCAGATGAGCCATATTTTTCGCCAAGCATCAGCAACCTGATTGGTTCAATTTAATTGGTAAACCAAACAGATATTAAGTAAGGTTTATTATTATTGCTTTGACTGTAATTCACATTAATGACAAGCGTCTCTATTTTCTCTTTTTGCTATTTTCATGGGGGTAAATTTGGTACACTTTATCTGCTGCAGTGTGAACCCCAACCAAACCAAATTAAAAGGACACCAAATCACAAAAACTTTGGAGTAGGCTTTAGAAACTGAACTGGGTATGAAAGCAGCCCGGTGTTCTTCAGAGATGTTAACTAGTAGAGTTTGCGATCTGAAATTGAACCTACTGATGCTGTTCATGAACAGGTTTGTATCTTTATAAAAGTGTATTATTAGCATGACATGAACAGTAGTTAGTTAGTCAGTGGTCTAGTTGCATTTTGTTACTTAGCCAGCTGTATTTATATTTTTATTTATTTATTTATTGTGGAAAAAGTTTTGCCTCACCACATTTGTAGTTGGAGCACCATCCGTACTACGTACATGATAGTATTGCATACTGTTCTGTCACACTTAACTGAGTCATCAGTATCTCAACAGGCCTCGTAAGCCGACATCATTCTAAGTGTTTTCTTAAATGTTTTCTTGAGAAAGGTCCTAAGAAAGGTCTATTTCAGATCCATGATGTGTTCTTAAAGCTCAGAATTGTTCACACCTTTCTGCTCTTGATTATGTGTAGATTCTGTTCCTAACTGAGGACAAATCTCAAATAAGAAAACATTGGTAAATGTCAAAATTTTCATGAAAACTGCATAAGTGGGGTTTAAGAAGAAATTTCTTCTTAAGAAGGGTTGGTGAATGAGGCCCAATGTCCCTGCCTATCCAGTCCTCACTCTTAGTACATCCAAGTAAGTGTTTCATAATAATAATCACCTCTCTCTATTTTACGCTTTGAGAGGGAAGCTACTATAAATGCACATGTGAAGAGGCAAAAAGTGTGAGAGCTCCCTTTTATAGGTTCTTTTAAATGAGCGTTGTGCCTATTTAGTAAATCTCTACAGACACTTTTTAATGTCAAAATTTACAACTGCAAAACATAAGTAAATCTGCTACAAAGTTGGGTAATGTTGGTTTGTTGTTTGAACACACAAAATCAGACATGCAATATTGTCAAAGTGGTATGACATTGTTCAAATGGTTTTGCGGTCTATAGGGTGATGGTTCAGAGCTAGCAAGCCATGGATAGCAGACCATAAGCATGAATATTTTTGGGTCTAAATGGTTTTATAGATGCGTGGACAGTCTGGGGTCCCTGAGAGCCGGTTTGAGAACACAGCTTTATGGGACTGTTTGCTAATAATAATGTTTAATAGATTAGATGTCATATCATATCTAAAAATAATCCTATTAAATGTTTCACCACTGAGACATTGGGGTTAATCTCATTTTCAGGCTGTACATGTGCATCTTACACTTTTAAAAAATGTTCTTTAAGGGTGAATTACTGTGACAATGGTTATTTATAGAACCATGAACACTCAAAGATCCATTTGAGTGCATACATTTTTCTTTGCATCAAATCTTCAAATGGTTCTCCTCTATGATACAAAAGAACTGTTTTAAAACAGTTCTATAGCACCTAAAAAGGGTTCCACTACTACTATGTGACAAAGAACCCTTTTTTCAGTATCATATAGAACCCATTTTGGTAGATGAGCTTAATAAGTAACATCAAAAAGTGGTAGATAAGCGGTTTAGATGATGTATATATGTAATACTGTTAACAAACAACAAATAACAGATTATTTCTGTTATTTTACTGGATGAGCAGTATTTGTCTGTGTTTTCACCTGTATTTTGCACAATGCATTCTGTACAACTGGACAAAGTATCCTTGTGGAAGAGTCTGACATGGAAGATACGGTGATTTTGGAAGATGCAGTAATTGGCAAAAGTGTGGATAATGAAAAGGCTGGTGATATAAGCTTGTCTGTTTTTATAATTAAATCGTCATATGCCGTCTAGTCTCAGCCTCAGACACTCCACCCACAGATTTACAGGGAACATTTCGTATCTTTTGCATGCTAAGACGGTCACAACTATCTGGGTTTTTCCAGTTCCATTCTGATTGGCCATCCACACTTCCGTGCAGCAGTTTTCATGTGTCCGACAGGAAATGCACTTTTGAAAGCAGTTACTTGCACTGATGAATGAGTCTTTCGGAGCAAGATGTGGTCGCTGGTTAACAAATGTTCATGAAGTTTAAGGCATCACATCTTAAAAACTTAAGACTTTTCATCAAAGCATTTAGTAACTAGGAAATGAGATGAGAGATAATCCTTGCACATTTACCAGCAAGTATATAAGTTTGTTGTACCCACTTTGTTGAGTGGATTTTTTTGCTGTAGCTTGGTTTTGAGGGCCACCTGCCTGTATGCAAATTTGATGGCCTGCGAACGGTCAGTATGCATGTCAAGGAAATGCTTTGCCATGTTGAGCAATGAAAACTTGCTCAAGTGGTACAGCCTGGTTTGTTAGCTAATGAGTGTGGTAGAGTGGGCAGACATGGCCTCTGAAACTCGGCATCTAGGGCTGTCTGACACTAATGGCAATGTACATTTGTTTCACATTTCACAAAAGCTTTTCCAGTTTTCATTTGACAGGCTACAAATATCTAATTAGTAAGTAATTAACCAGTATTAAGAACACTAAAAGCAGGGGTATCAAACTATTAAGTTAACTACTGCTTTAGTTATCACTAACATGTATACAAGAGAATGTGTGTTTTTCTTTTAAGGAAGAAGATTTGTTGTAGTGTTTATTTTCAAAAACTTTCATTTTCAGTTTGTATTGTTGTTCCTGGTCTTTGCTTTAGGCAAAGAGCAAAGTCAGATGAGTTTTACAGCTGATAAAGGGCAAAAAGGTAGCAGAGAATGCACAGTTAAAGCAGCGGCCATCGATGTTATCCATAAAGAGCAGGTTTTTATTCCATTGAAGCATAATCACATGTTATTCCAATTACTTAGTTGGGCTGAGTCTTAAAATAAGTGATTAGTTATATAAAGTGTGCTTGTGTTGTGTAATAATAAAAAACCTGCAGCCACATCGGCGCTTTGTGGATAAGATGGTGACCCCGGAGTTACAGCGTGCCGCTATTGTGCACCACTGACAAATAACATGCAATTTTGTGATTTTCTAAGTAAACATAAGTACACATTCTCTACAGAGAGCAGACTTGTTTTCACATTTTAATGCACCATTACTGTTTATTTGCTGAATGTATCATATCGGGATAAAATAATACATAAAATATGGTCTGGGCAAAAGTTACGGTACATTTTAAATTGTATCTTTTATGTTTTCCAATATGTTAGCCTCAGCAAGAACGAAATTGTGTACAGAAAATGTACCGTATTTAAGTTTGCTCCCATGTGGGATCTTATTCTAAGTTGGAAAATCAGCAAAACATATAATATGACCAGGGATTTCAAACTTTTTTATACAATTGTAACTCCTAGCCCCATTCCGGCCCTGGATACAGTAGCGCGAGTTGACAAATACAAACAAAGGGGGAAAACTGGGCACGTATGTTAAAAATATGTTAAAGATATGTTAAAACATATGTTAAAAACATAAACAGTATGCAAACCCGATCACCTTACGTTAATAAGACGATTCAAACTTATTACCCTGCGGATCCCATTGAATTATTCCAGAAGCAGCATAGAACTAACCGGAGAGCAACAGACCAGAGTGGAAGTGGAGATGTTCCAGAAAGCCAACATATGCTGGATTTCAGCAAGGAATAGCAGCGAAAATCATGCCTAACTTTCCTTCTCACATTTTTTTTTTCAATTTTACAACTCCTGAAAACTGAATGTAAGTTTTGATCACTGTGACATGCTAATATCACTGTGTCTGTAAATAATAATAAAGTAATGTTTTTTAATGCTCAAGGACAAGTAGACAAGTGTAAAATAAAACATGCTATAGGAACAAACTTACCCATGGCAGCTCTTGTGGACATCACCAGGACTGAAAAGATGACCAACTTTTTCATTTTGTCCAGAAAAGAGAAGGAAATCACACATCAGAAAGTCTTTAAGCGTAAGTGTAAGAAAATGAACAGCCGTTATCTCTCTGAAACCTGCTGTCAAACAGCAGTTGTGACTCTGAGTTCTTTTTCTTTCAAACACTGCCTCCTCCCTCACTCTGAGGCTGATATTGGGTAATATTTTACATGACTTAAAATGCTTTTGCAAGAAAAGGGGAAGTACCATTACATTTGGTTAAGAGCTCACTTCCTCTTTTCTTTCTAAATAAAATAGACAGAATTCTACAATTAACAGTTTCTGTACGTAAGGGAAAGTTCATTTCAGAGCTTAGCATGGCCATGTGAGCACTTTATTTAAACTCTTAGACTTTTCCACTGACTCTTAAATGCACAGACAGTTCCACAATTGTAATGATGTGTAATGTCTTTGGTGTATAATAATAAAAAAATATATTAAAATGATAAAATAGACTGTCACAGGCAAGAGTTTGAACAACCCCAGTCAAATTACATTACATTTCTAAGTGAAAATAAGTTAATGAATCTCTACAGAGAACTTAATTGTGGCATTTTTCTGAAAATGAATATCGCTGCTGTCAAAAGAAAACCTTGTATCTCTATTTTTGTTGTTTTTCAGTTTTTGGCATTATTTGAAAATACTTGTTGCCCTTTACATTGATTGTAAATTTCATGATGAATGGACCTAAAGAAATGGCCCAAAATGACTTGGGAAAAAGTCTGGTTCCATTGACTTACATTAAAAGTAAAGTAGGTTTTTTCCTTCTCCTGTAAAGTTACCATTTTGGAGATACGAGGTTTTCTATGTATTTGCTGAACTATATACAACTTATTAAATGTGCTATAACCTTTGTACACAATGTCTGAATGGACTTGGCTTTTTTGTTTAGCTAAAAATCACCACATACTATCAGGTGAGCGACAGATACTTTCATTTGCACACCAGATGCTTTTAGGTGACTACCACATACTATGTGTTAAGCACCTGATACTATCAAATATGCACCTGATATTATGTGGTGAGCACTGGATACTTTCAGGTGCACACCAGATGCTATTAGGTGAGCGCCACATACTAAGAGTTGAGCACCTGACACTGTCAAGTGCACAACAGATACTATCATGTGTGCACTAGACCACATAGTATCAGCACCCAAAACTAACAGGTGTGCACCAGACACACATAGGAGCTACAGCTCACTTGATAGTATCTGGTGCACACCACATAGTATCTAGTGCTTACCTGATAGTATCTGGTGTGCACCAGATTTTTACCTAAAAGAAAAATACACTACATCCCTTCAGAGGCTCCTTTTTTTTTGCACAGGCCACATGTTTCGTCCCGTCAGTTTGTTCAATTAATCAAATAAACACTAATTGTGTATTGAATTTGCAGAAGTGTGTTTTCTGTAGAGGAGGTCAATTTCTTTTAGAAAATTAACAAAACATTCAATTTGACTGGGGTGCACAAATCTTTACATGCAACTATGCAGTGAGGAGAAATAAATATTAAGACATTTTTATTTGTAGTATATTTTTTTCCAGTTTTTGTTCTAGAGTATGTATCCACTTCAAATATTCACACATAATGTCTTTTGACTTTGTACTTGTAAACATGCACAAAAAATCATACATATAAATAAATTGGTAGGTAAAAAGTATTCAGGCACCACAAATGAATAACAATAACAGAACTTTGTTGCAAAGCCATTATTGGCAGTTACAGCTTTGAGACATCTACAGTAAAAAGTAATGGTAACACTTTATTTGAAGACTACCTACATAAGGTCATCACATACGCATAAGCATTGAATAACATATTTATAAAGCAATACTTGAGTATTTATGACCAGCTTATGCCAGTAATAGCAATACCATATCATGAGCTGAAGTAAATTACTTTGTACTGACATTAGGGTTTTGTACTTTAACTCATGCAGAACTACGTAGAACTGACATAAACTTCTAAACTAGACCTTCCTTCTAAGTTTCTTTACTTGGGAAAGATGCTTCATAATAGTGTTATAAATGGAACAAATCTCCATCAGACTTAAGTTTAAGGTCCCTTATGTCAATGCAATGAAGTCATTTACTTCACAGAACAGACATATTGTGGTTACTATTCATGTGTTATGTAGTCCATTCATAGGTATCCTTCAAATAAAGTGTAACTGAAGTATTTTCTTTTGCAGTATTATGGTTCAATTTTGGCCTGTTCCTCTTGGCAAACCACTTTCAATTCATCAGTGTTATGAGGGTCCTCAATCATTTTTCAATGGGATTCAAGTCTGGAGACTGGCTAGGCCATGCAAACACCTTCACCTTCTTTTTTAGAAACCAGTCTTGAGTCATATTATTTTTATGTTTGGGGTCACTGTATTATTGAAACGTCCATCTTCTCTTAAATTCAATTTATTGGCTAAAGATTCGTTCCTCCACTAACATGTCCCAGTACATCACCCAGAAATGCATTAATCGTGTTATAAAAAACATTTGAAAAATGATTAGCATGCATATTAGGATAGGATTCCTGCATGGAACCAGGTTGTTTAGTAATAAAGCTACAAATACCGCTGATTATATATTTGACGACAAAATTCTGGATTCAGTGGATGGAAAATATATGGCCAAAAGTATGTGGACACCCCTCCTTACTACTGAATTCAGATGTTTCAGCCATACTCATTTCACCTGTATGAAATCAAGCACACATGCAATCATTGACAGACTTCACAAACATTGACAGAATGGGATGCACACACAGCTCAGTGGCTTTAAATGGGTCACTTGTATAGGACGCCACAATCAGTGTGTGAAATTTCTGCTCTGTCAGATCTGCCCCGATCAACTCTCAGTGCTATTATTGTCTAAATGGAAGCCTCTAGAAGCAGCAACAGCTCAGCCACGAAACAACAGATCATGCGCAGAGTGATGCCACCAAGTATGAAACACATAGCGCATAAAAATAGCCTATCCTCTGTTGTGTTGCTCACTGCAAAGTTCCAAACTTTATTTTTTTTTTTCTGTGGGACTGCAGTTTGAACTAATTTGGTAAAATGGTCCACATATATATTTCCATTGAAACATATTTCATCAGCGTTACTGAGGAAAAAGAATGCATAGTTTAAAGTGGTGAATATGCATTTTATGGTTTCAGTGATAGACAAACTCATTTGCATGAAGTTGCACTTGACTGGGAGCAGATTTTGGCTGGCTGTCAACAATGCAAGCATCTTCACCACTAATGCTGTAAAATCTGCATTGGTAGAGCATAAAGTTTGAGCTGAAGCTAAAATAAAGAACAAGGGAGAAGTGGTGAAGAATTTGGGACGTGGTCAGCAGTTTTCGTCATTCTGTTTAGAAAGAAAAGTCTGTGTCATAAGGTGGACAGAAGTTTTAAAAAGAGCATGGGAAAGGTCAATAATGATCTGATGAATGATTCAATCCATCCAATTGCTCAACACTGCTCCAGGCCCACTCCACTGCCTTGTGCATTTTAGTGTGTTTCCTGCTGTAATACAGCCACTTTAACTCAATAATGAGGTGCTAATGAGCTGGTTATTTGGATCTGGTGTGTTGGGAGCAGGGAAAACACTAAAAAGTGGAGGGCAGTGGGCCTCCTGGACGAGGGTTGGAAAACACTCATCTAATGTAATGGTAAATACATGGAATGGCAATATTGATTCAGATAAAGAAATGTTATTTTTTTCAGTAATAAACATGGCTTATCAACATTTTCACAAACATGTACATGAAATTTAATGTATTTAACAATCTTTTACAAACATAGTTTTTTTCAGCATACATATTAGAATAGCATTATTACATATAACACTGTTGTTTAGTCACTAAGCTACAAATAAAACTGATTACATATTCAAAGGGGAACAAACGTTCTGCATCATTTGGTCAGTAAGATACAAACATAGGCTTTTCTATTGTAGGGCCAAATGACCAACTAGTTCAGTGCCATTCCACATGGACATGGTTTGGCTAAGTATGCTAATAAGCCATGTTCAGTCTCAACACAGTTAGCTACCTATATTCAGGGCTGACATAATGACAAGGCCCAGATCATCTATTATTGGCCCCTGGACACAAATTTTAGGTGGGCCCCTACCTGGCTACCTTTTTTCGGTGGTCAGTGAATTTTTTTTATGATATTACAACAGTTTACACAAAGCCTATGCAGCACCACCATGGGAGCACACTGACCACAGCGTTTGGCACATCAACACTATACATATTACCACAGAATAGTACGATAGCAGCCACATTAACAAGAGCACAGATTAACTTAAACCCAACAACAAATGCAACATTTCCCTACAAAGCATGAATCTGCTGTTCATAACATCTCGCAACAAAGACAAAATAAATTAAAAGCAGGCAGCTGAAATGTAAATAAAGACAGAAGAAAGCAGCATACTCTCAAGTATCCTAACCAAGAATATGTTCATTTATATCTTACCTCTGATGACAGCTCTAAGAAGACTGCTGATAAGGATTATGTAATTTTTTACATTTTATTTTAATTCCAAATTTTATATTTGGCTTTAGAAATGGGCATCCTCTACTCTGTTGAAGCATCAGATCTCGCTTTCACAGATCCCCCTAGCATGTCTATTGAATATCTGGAGCTTAAATTCAAAGTACATTCACAAGAATGCTAGCTCAATGGTTAAAACCCTGAGAATATGACCTAGGTATAGGCAGCTAGTGTAACAATTACTAAGCAGTGACTGGAGGATAAAATGAAGCGACTATTTAGGAAACACATGGAGAGTGTCTGGATAATGATCGGCAACACAGTGGTAAAACAGTTAATTTTTTACACTGTGCCAATAGTAAATTTCCCACCAGGAGTCAGAACAGCTGTTTAGATTTTCTCATAATTGATTGTGGGGGCACTCATTGGCTTGGGCCTCTGAGTACACACCCATAAAACCCATTAGATGATCCAATCCAGGCCTAGTAATGACAGCCAGCTGTTCACTGATTATCTAGCTATTGTGCCATCCTGCATTACTTCAAAAGCAAAAACAATCAAATAAGTTCAGTTTGCTCACATGGTCACCAAATGAATTAAAGCAGTCCATGACTGTCAGTTCAAAAAAAAACAAAAAAACAATAAGCCTAACAAATTTTGCTAAATGTAAAAAAGTGATGCTAGTTAGGAGAGAGAAGCTCAAGAGCATTAGTTTAGCATGCTACCATCTCTGCTCATTACCTGACCAGGTCAATTATGGCTAACCAAAGCTAGACTGGCATAAGTTTAGATGATAATTAGTGAAATCTAAGTAAGCAAAGTTGAATGGCAGGTGTTGGAGTGTCCGGTGGTATTTGGTACCTCCTAGCTAGGCTACTGCTAGATGGCTTCTCTAGCCTAGCCAGGGTGGCCAACTTTGATGAGGTGACTGCAGTCAGATTTTCAGGTGCATACACAAATTTCAACCACAACTCATATATGTCATGTTTAGAGGAGAGTCAGTTCTTGGATGCCAAAAAAGTAGTTCCAGTTCCAGTGTCAACCATGGACTGGGAATCTTTGAACTAAGCAGACGCTTGGAGGAGATTTTGCCAGCACCGAGTTGATGTTGAAGGGTCCCCTCAGGCAGAAAATGGAAGAAGAACAGTGCGGCTACCTTCTTCTCTGGTTAAGACTGAAAGAGAAAGATGTGTACAATACATAAGCACTAACTCAGAAATTGCAGAATTGCTTAAGATGTACTATGAGAAATTTGAGGAGTACATAATGGCAAAGAAAAATCACATCTTTGTCCAATAAGTTTCAGAAGAAAACTGTTGAACTATGGACCGGATTTAACTTTGAAAAAGACTACTGACATTGCACACTTGTGGGAAATTGCAAAAGAGCAGTAACAAACCATGGTTAAACTTGAACAGTCACTGTAAAAATGATTAGCTCAAATACAAGAAATAAACTCGCAAATAATTCTCAGTTCAGTTTTGTTTTGTCTTCTCAATTTTAGCATATTGAAAAAATTAAGTCCAAGAATTGAGAAAACAAATTACTAATTTAAGTGGAAACTACATAAATCCAGTCAAGAATGATTATGTTGTGAATGAAAAAGCCTCAACAGAGGGAACTGAAAGAAATGGAAAGTCCTAGCTACTCAGACACAGGTGCACAACAAATGACTGAAAGTGCAAACAGAAAGGTAAAGTGACATTAAATTTCCAAGAGGCTGCAGTCACCTATGTCTAAGCAGTGAAAATCAAAGGTGAAGTATGTTGGGCCATTGCCATTTAAATAAAAATCTACCTAATATAGCTTATTTTACCAGTAAATTACGCAATTTTGAGATTTCCTGACTAATTGAGGCATAAAAGACATGAACAATTTAACAATATACCATAAATTCAAAGACAGAAACTATTAAACTTTTAAAACACAACAAATAATCTCATATTTCCTGATTTAAGATTTTAAATCTTGGTAAGCACAAAACAATTTGTAGAGGTAGTGCAAACTCTGCACATGCCATATTCTAAAATAGCACCAGTCAGACCAACATCAAAGTGGCCAAAGTTTTCAGAGCAAAGGCTCCTAAAACTAACCCAGCCAGCCCAAGAGCTAAAGTTTGTGGTCGATTTGCACAAGACCACAAAGACCAATGCCCTGCAAGGGGTTGCCAGTGCAAAAAATGTGGCGAGCTTAATCACTTTGATAAAGCATGCAGGTCTCAGCAAAAACATTGGCCATGCGTAGTGCATGCAGCTGAGAATACCAATTCAGAAGAACAAGATTAGTTTTACATTGATGCTATTAAAAAAGACCACAATGGCACAAAAAAATGAACAGACATGCAGTTATTATAAAATAATAATAACTCCCTACCTAACCATTAAACAGTTGTACCCTCTGTTACCCTCCCAAAATAAATGGCAACCAACCCTACAACTGGTGAATTTATACACAATATATACAAAAGGTGGACTAATGTTAAACAGTACAAGGGCAAACCGATCTCAGGGTCAGAGTACAAGCAAAGGTCAACAGCAATAACAGAGTTACACAATCAAACACACAGAAAACAAGCTATTGAGCAAGTGAGCACTAGGCCGTTGCAGACGCACAGACTGGCACTCTATGTTCCTGGGATGTGATGCAGAATTAAATTTAAAAATTAATTAAATTAAATTTCAAAATTAAATTCAAGTAAGATACGGGGGCCCAACTGAACACAATAATAGCCATCATATTCAAAAACGTCTTTTGCAATGTTGAGCTACATCTCACATCTTGCTGGTTATAATGGAGAGCCGCTGGATGTAAAATGCAAATACGTTGAAATTACAGCTATGCTAGAATTCTATATCGTCAACACACAGGCACCCCATACTTGGTTTAAAGGCTTACATCGACATGGATCTAAACAAGCTTGTTTTGTTGGTTCATGCAGACTCAGATGGACATGCTGACATTATGAAGGAGTTTGCGGATGTCTTTGAAGGTATAGGGGAGTTGCAGGTGAATACATCTTGACCCCTCAGCTGTTCCTGTGGTGTACCCACTGTGGAGGATTCCATTCACTTTGTGAAGCCGTCTGAAGGACGAGCTTGATTGGATGGAATGGCTAGGCATCATCTCAAAGGTAACAGAACCCAGTGACTGCTATACTGCACTGGATGTCATAGAAAAACCTCACTCTTGAATCCTGAGAATTTCCTGGATCCATGATACTTAAACAAGGCAATCAAAAGGAGACACTATCCACTACCTACCTTAGATGACATCCCCCCCGAAACTGGCAGAAGCCAAGTTCTTTGGTGTAATGGGTCTGGTTACTAGGCAATCAAATTCACAGAAAAGTCTTCTACACTCACCACGTTCAACACTGTGTTAGGAAGACACCATTTCCTTCATTTACCGTTTGGCCCAATCTCAGCTCAAGACAAAATCCAGAGGAGAATCGATGAAAACTATGAGGGACTCAGTGGATTGACAGCCATTGTCGCTGATATACTGGTATATCTCCAAACTAAAAAGGAGCATGATGCAAATCAGTGTGCCATGCTAGAGAGGATACAGCAGAGAGGAGTTCGATGAATCCTGAGAGAAGTGTAATATGTGTACTAGAGCTCAGTTACTTTGGGCTCAAACTGACTTGCGATGGCATCAAACCAGACCCAGAAAAAGTCAAAGCCGTGAAAGAAAAGGAGTCACCCAAAAACAAAGCTGAGCTTAAAACTTAGTGTTGAGAGATTTTAGTTGTTGAGAAATCCATCTGTTTACAGCACTGCAAGTCCCACCCAAAGCAACTAATGATCCCACACCCAATCCTGGAATGGTCATGGCAAGTCATTGCCACTGGCCTCTTCAATTGGAATGGTCAAGACTATGTGATAGCCTTTGATTAGTACAGCTGATTTTTGAGCTGGAGAGACTTCACTCCACCACTACAGCAGCTGAGATCTCTAAGCTCAAGGCAGTGTTTGCAGGACATGGCGTGCCTGAAAAGTTAGTCTCGGACAACGGTCCCCAGCATTCCTCACAGAAGTTTGTCGGCTTTGCAGCAACCTGGGACTTCTATTGCTGGGAAAAAAAATGCAGACAGCGAAGATGATTCTTGACGAAGCTTGTGCACAAAGACAGTTCCTGTAATTCAATTTGTTGGAATGCACCGGTGGAAAATTTTAATTCACAGGCCCAGCTTCTCATGAGCCAAAGACAGCTGTCCGTACTTTCCATCGCTGAGAAACACCTGCAACCACAAGCCATCAATTCAAAAGCAGCATGAACAAGGAGAGCACAGAGTCAGGGTAAACAGAACATTCGTCTCCAGTTTGCTACCAACAAGAAACTGCGCAATGGAAACTGCTATAAGTATAAAGCCTACAGGAGATGAATGGTCTTATTCCATCAGCGCCAGCAAAGGACAAACCTTTCAACACAAGTCAGTAATACTCAACAGGGAAAAGCCTGGACAGATGCTGGACCTGTGAAATGAAAATGGTGTAGATAGATCGCTAACTAACTACCTTTCATGTTGTGCTAATAACTCATCTCTAGACTGGTTAGATACCCAATAGCAGGTACATTGAGACACTGATGACTCAATCAAGTGTGACACAAATGCCAAGGCAATTTGCAAAGGGGTGGCACCACAACCACAAAAGTGGTGGGGCAAAACGTATTGTTTCAATCAATAAAGCAATCAATCAATAAATCAATCAATAAACAAATAAATAAATAAATCTGGCTGAGTGACAAAATGCAACTAGGCCACTGACTGACTGACCAACTACCTTTCATGTCATGCTAACAACACATCCTTATAAACCTTTTGATAAACAGTGGTCAGTTTTTGTTTGACCCTGAGCTTCAGTAGGTTCAGTTTCAGATAGCAAACTCTACTAGCTAACATCTCTGAAGAACATGGGGCTGTTTTTGTACCCAATTCTTTTTTCTGAAGTCTGCACCACAGTTTTTGTGATATTGCATCTTTTTTATTTAGTTTGGTTTGGTTCACACTGCAGGGGCTAAAGTAGACTAAGTAGGTGTTTGTTAATTGGTCAGAAATTTTGCATGGATGCAAGCGCTCTGCTACTCTCACATTTACCACCATAGAAACTGAAAATAGAGACGCTTGTCATCAATATGACTAACAATCAAAGCGATAAAAACAAACCTTACCTAACATCTGTTCCTTTATGGTTAGTTTACCAATTTGAATGTAACCAATCAGGTAGCTGATGCTTGGCCTAAACAACATTGTGTGATCCATGTGCCAAAATTAAAAGCATACCTTTGCTGTTATTTTATTGCTTTTTAACAGCAGCGTGTGCTTCAGGAATTATGAGCATTTAAAAGAGTAAAATGTCAAAACAGGCAGTGCAGTGCACAGCATGCTAGTGTTGAATATTCTCATTTCACAAAAAATGTGTTTTTCCAAGCTACCAACTGAAGCAAGGGTCACTTTGAAGTGGCCTGAGACCAGTGACTTTTTCCAGACCACCATTAATTTCTTTGGTGCAGACCTGAAAACGGGTGAAGTGTTCACACATTGGAACAGACCAGACAAAAGTATCTGCTTTATGTCTATACATCAATGCTCTGCGCAATTTAGACAGAGTAGAGATTTTCTTTTTGATGTTAATCAATCAGAAAGTGGTGAATCATCACCCCAGTGTAGAGTCGTGGAGATCAGTCTCTATACATAGTAGATAGCTTGGACAAATGTCAATATTCCATAATTAAAGTGAGTTGACAAACATTTAAGCAATCAAGAGCTCTGAAAGGAATAAAAACACAAATGTAGGTGTAATGTCAGAATTAAAACATCATCACACGTACAATGCATACACTGACCATACATGTTACACTGTAGCACAAACTCATGTCTGGCTACAGAGTGAACAGAACATTTCAAATGAAATTACATTTAAACTCTTATTGTTAACAAGAGTGACTGAGAACTGTCTGTCTACAATTTAGTGCAGATTAATGTATTGACATCGTTATACGTTTTCAAAAGCCTGATTGGTGTTGAATTGCACAACCTGACAAGGGTAAATTGTAGTATGGATGTTTAATTAAACAGATTCAGGTAGCATGTGCTTTAGTCAATGGGGCTTGGGAATGTGATGTCATGATGCAGTGTCTTATGATCTTGGACTGTATGTAAAGATGACTTTC